TGCTTCTATATATTGTGCGCTGCAAAAGACTTAATTTGCATTTACAGCAACACTGTGCACGTACGCAACTAAATATAGTTGGGACGCCTGAACATTTTATACATTGTGTATATACGTATATTTAGACCCGTTCGTACCCTCACTTAGTTTTAGTGGCCACTATTGTTGTACGGTGTACGTGCAATGGGGCGGATGAAGGCGTTGCCTATATATAAATTAAGTATACGCAGTGCAGCCCCTCTGTTATGTCTCATTTCTCTCGCTCTCTTTGTGTTTGCTGATACTGGAACTGGAACTGAAACTGAAACTGCCAACTGAACCAAAGTCTCTAATGACCACTTTGAGGGTTTTAAAATGGGCGACAGTCAGGCAGCGGCCACATAAATAACACGGCAAGCGTCCTGCTCCGCATTTCCCTGCTGCGGCGAGAATGAAATTAACTTATTCATTAGCAAATGGCAGCCCGGGGGCCCGTCTTAAGCACAACATATACATATACATATGTACATATGATATATACATTTGTATGCAAATTCAGGCACATAGTAACACAGATATATGCAAATTGTTGTGTTTATGTCTATAAACTGTTTGCAGCTCTTTTCAAAGGCACTAAATGTCAGACACTTTCTACACCTTGGTGCGACTTAAGCTGTCTTTTATGCTGGCATACCCTGCGTATGCGTTATATTAGCCATATCTGTTCATTTGGTGTATGTCATTATTGAATGCAAATTTTTATGTATTTACTTTTATTCTGTGATATAAATATAAATTGTTTTTAGCAAGTGTAGATTTCTGGGGTAACACTTATCATATAAGTAATCTTTAAAGAAATCGAGATAGTTTGTTTTTATTTATTTATATATGTACTTCACTGATCATTAATTCGTAAGTAATAGAGGTTATCTTTATCTGAAAATCGGGGACTTTGTGGAACTTTGTGGAACTTTATTGACCCCAACTACACTGGGTATTTCTTAAGTCGGAAGCACCAACTATTTCCAACAACCTTCGGCAAAGTTTTCTTTCTTGTTTTTAATTAAAAAACATTTTCATTGCAAAGGTGCAAAATGGCTGGCAAATTGCATAGAGAACACAAGGCAGCACCGGCAGCAGGACTTCGGGCGCCATTTTGAGTTGCTGGCTTAACGAGACACAAACACTCACACAGCTGCAGCTGCAGCTGCACTCACTTACAATCGCAACCACCCACATATACACACACACACACACACACACACACGCAAAACTTAGTAATCGACTGCGTTTTGCTGTTTGTTCGGCATGTCCTTTTTCCTCCGCCGCTTCTGGTTTTCGTTTTGTTATTTGTTGTTGCTCTTAACAGCACCAGTAACAAAGAGAGAAAAAACTTTAATTAAGTTTTCAGGTTGCTGGTTTATTTTTAACTCGAGTGTTTTGCATACTACTGCGAAGCAACAAACAGCAACCGTGAGTTTTGACAGCTGACCGTAATTTATAAAGGCATTTAGTTGCAGATTTTTTCCCACATGATGGAAGCTTAGGGCAAAAGTTCGCCAGCACATATGATGAAGAGTCCCAAAATAATGGGGGTCAGAGCTGGCAGCTTAGCTAACAATATTTCATTCAGCATTTGATAAGCTTAAATATAGTTTTAATTAAAGTTAGGTTTATTCATGTTTGCATTCTGAGTTTTTGAAAATTATAATTTGGGACGGTTGAAACGAACTAACTTTAAATTAGATTTCTTATCTATCATATGTAAGAGTGTGGCATCAGTAATCTGCAGTAAAATCCATTTCAAATGCACCTGCAAGCCGAATGACATTGCAAATCCAGCTGCTCCCTGCCTTTTGAAAAAGATAATACTCCACTGATTGTCAGCTGCCCGATCCACCCAACACATTTGCATTTGTCAGTCGCATTATATGCAACCATCTTGGCGTCCTGCTATTTTTGCACCATCAAATGGAGCGGCAGACCCAACGGCAAGGATCCATTTAACTTTCAATTTGTGCAAACGACTTACAATTGTCGCAGACAATTTTGCCGTTTTTTTAATCCAGCAGTGGCGAATGGAACGTTAAGTCGCAAATTTCTACATTTTGTCCTGTTTCTCCTTCTTTGCTATGTTCTCAAGCTTAGCAAACCACAAAAAAAAAAAACGGAACACAAAGGCCGATAAAGAATTGAAAAAAGTGCAAAGTACGAATATTATATGCTCTTAAACACCAAATCTCTTCTTAGCATCATACAAAGGATAGAAATGCTATACAGTACTTATTTCTTGCTCAAATTTATGAAATTAGACAAACTCGCAATTATTTATTATTTGTAGAAATTAAACTGTGAGTTACATACAACTTTTTGAAAATATTTTGGGTTCTATAAATATAAATATCATATAAATATGATAAAAATACTGTAAAACTATGCAAATCAAAATTACTCAACAATTCGGACTACATTTTTACTGAATATCTTTCGCACTAAATACACCCAAAAAAGCTGAACGTTTAGTTTTATCAGTGTGTCTTGGAAATAAGCTGCAGACATTAATAAAGTATATATATTAATTCAATACTTCATAAAATAATCCCTATACTTTTTTGTTTCATTTCTATACCAAAGTCAAAGGCCCTATTTTTAAACCACTTAAGTTATTTTTTATACTACCTTGGTATTAATTTAGCACTCATCTTATTGAGAAATTTATCAAACCGAATAGTTTAAAATTTATGTAACAATTGTTTATTTTCTATGCACATTTATGTATAGGTTTTCAAAATAAAACATTCTCATTGTTTCATTAACCAAGGCCCGTTAATATAATTTGTCTGAAAATTAGGGTTAGGAATTAGGGTTTTCCTTCGAAATCGTTGCCTAAATTGCCTGGCAGAACGCTTTCCCAATAAGGGCTTTCCATCTTGTTCAGCTCCAGGTAAGGCCTGCCAAATTGGGAGCACTTTTCCAGGCCAAATTCAAGCACTCGTTCACAGCGAGATAGGGATCGCTGGTGGGCTGTATTGGGTGGTGGACAGGTATTCAACTCCGTTCCGTGGAAGTGCGAAATATTTTCGCTGCGATTTGCATTTGTTCGTACGGTAGGCAGGGGCAGGCAGGAGGCGTGGCAGCTCCAATTGGCGCCGCACATAAATGCAAATGCAAAAAGTGGCCCAGGGGCGCTGTTGGGGGGCGACGGCTGTCAGGGGGTGTGGCAGCTGGTGAACAAAGTGTGGCATACATTTAGGCGTCGCCGCATGCAAATGTTTGACGTTATACAATAATAAAAGCAAATCCGTGGCAAAGCGGGACCCACACAAATATACACATCATATATATATATATACAAGTATATATATATATAATTTTTTTATTTTCTTTGACTTAGTCTTGCGACGTTTTTATTTCCCTTTCTGCTTGCTCAGTTTTGCATATTTTTCTTGTTCGATTTTTATCGCCACGTCGCCGACGACGAAAATGTTGCGCAAATATTTGCGCTTTTATGTGCATAGCAAAAAACCTTTCCACATTTTTTTTTATGCCTTTTTTCCCCTCGTCTTGGAACATTTTTCCTCTCATTTCTTTTTGTGCATTCAGATTTTCGCTTTGGAGATGTTTGTTGTTGCTGCTTTTTATGATTTACTTGTGCTTTGTGTTTGTACTTTGGTTCGTATTTGTGTTTCTGTTGGTATTGGAATTTATACACGGGTAAAAGTTTAATTGTATATGTTAAATACAATTGAAATCGATTATGTACAACTATATGAAGTGGGATATATTCTTTTTTTAATATACCAACAATTATTTATACGTAAAAAGCTGTTAAGGTTAGAAAAAATTTAGAACTTTGTCTAAAGTTTACTTATGCTCTTTTTTGTTTTTTGGGTGTATAAGATTGTGAACCCACAAATATAAATAATCTTTAATATTGTCCCTGAAATAACCCTGTTTTTATCAGTGTATTGATGTGTATACAGTGTTGCAAAGGTAAATTGGATTGAGAAATTGAAATCGCATTCAGTGGCAAACGGGAAGGGCGGTGAAAAATAGAGGGCGAGAGCAAAGGCGATAGAGGAAAATCTTTTCCGTTTTATTTACCTTATTGATTTTCTCTTTTGTACAGGTCGCACTGTGTATTTGTGCACCTCGGGCTGAGATAATCGAGCCGAAGTTGCATTTTCCACTTTGGTGGCAGAAAGTTTAATGGATTTTCCCGTTTTATGCAACTCCAAAAAAGTGTGCTCTAAAAAGTTTTCTATTTTCCTTCGTACACCTGAGCTTGGCCTTTGTTAGACCAACTTAGGCCTGACAATCCCCCAACATTCATCAAAGTCCGTCGTTAAAACCATTTCCATGTTCGCTTTTCCCCAAAACAAATTGTCAAACATGGAACTTTCGTCTCATGACGTCACAACTAATTAGAGTGAAGTGAGTGGAAATTCACTGCCAGTTTTTGGTTGCAATGGGCTGCCTAATTAGTTGATTAAACTTGGCTTGGCCCAGTGTCATTTGCTAAAGATATTCTGGTTAAAACCGGAAGGCAATAGTTTGGGTGGCTTGGAAATATGTAAGGTGTTTGGTGCTAGCCAATTAACTAAGCTAAATACAACATTTAATCACTTTAACAGCAGTACATATAGTGACGATGCGCACCAAGAACGTGTGCATAGGAAACTACTTTATATGTATAACTGCTGTGATGGTCCGATTATAACGAGTAATACGCTAATCTGTACTATCGCTAATAGAAAATGGAGTGCATTGCAAGACTTTACAAAAATTAATTGGACACATTCCTAATAATATTTTTAATTGGATGTTTTTGTCGGATTTTGTAAAATGCTCATTTTAAAAGTTTATTTTTTTATTTTAATGTTCAATCATTTTTCGTCACAAAATTTTATATCAGAAATATTGTAAGTTGATGGTAAGGTCACGACTTTTTTATCCCATTAATATGTGTTTTTGCATAATAACAATAATAACAATACAAGAAAATTTAAAACTCCCTTTTGTTTGACTTTCAATAGTTTATTTCGTAAATTTCAATATTGAAAAACTATAAATCTACGACAAACATGTTCAGTTATTTGGTCTTGTGTGTGTGTGTGTTGTTTATATGCAAAATGACTTAAGTACAAAGATGTTTCTGTTCGCGATCGGTGCAAACGTGATGGTAACCCTAACCCAAGCACCCAAGGCCAGATGCAGTTGTCCCATAGATCTCAACAATGGCCCTGCATCACCCGGTCCAGATCATTCCAGCTGCAGGAGTAGTCGATCTGGAGCAGACCCTTCTTGCTCAGTCCGAATTTACGGGCGTAAATTCCCGAGTAGAGCGACGAGTCGCCTCCGCTGGAGTGCGGTGATGAGCCCCTCATCCGGGATCCATCTCCTCCGCCTCCTCTGCCTCCGCCCATGGTACCGTAGAGGGTGGAGGGTGCGGCGTAGATCTGCTGGTGACATTCGCTGCAATCCGGTATGCTGCAGTACGGCAGTGTAGCGAAGGGATTGCAGTAGTCGTAGGCGGGCGACAGTGGCGGCGGGGCCGGAAAATCGATCTGAGGGGGAGCGGCCAGGGGCGCCGTCTTCCCGCTTCGCTTGCGCCTCGGATGGGGGGCGGTTCCATAGTTGTTGATCTTCTGGCTGTTCATCTGACTGGGAACGGAACGACGCTGGAGGGTGGCAGCCCGTCTCTGGAGTACGGGCTGCTCATCCCCGATGGAGGAGGGGTGCTCCGTGGAACTGGTACTGGAAAAGCCTGCGAAATGGCAATAACAAATTAGTATACTTTATACTTAAAAGAGCATTTTAATAAAAATATTACAATATAATAATATTTTGTAAACTCTGATAATAGGCTGTAAAATCAATTTGGTAAAATTGAAAGAAAATGGATAACATTAATGTTATAAAACTTCCCATGGTAAATAGTTAAACAAATAAATATATAAATAAATATATCTATTACCTAAGAAAGATGTAATATTTATGCGGTAAGTACTTTATTTAAGAATCTAACAAACATCTCCAGTAAGCCAACGCCTTCATAAGCAAATACATTTTATTTAATAGAAAAAGTATGACTATTAATTTAATTCCTATTCGCTTGCAGTTTCACATATAAGATTATAATAATATAATAATAATATAATAATAATAAAATAATAATATAATAATATTTAAAACTCAAAGAGCATATTTATAGTTCTTTAATCACAGATGCGGAAGTATATTAAATTCTAATACAGAAGAAGTAAATGGAAATTAAATTTTATTAATGAAAAACTCATATACGGAAAACGCAATGTTCAACTAATGAAAACGACAAGAATAGCTTAGTTACAAAAAGCATCAAGGCTTGTTGTAAGCAGCAAATGGAATCATCAATTAAGGTTCAATCAAGACGATATGCATAATATATAAAATTTTAAGGCATTTAAGGCATTTGTGAGATGTAGCCACAAGGACAAGCAAATGGAATTGACAATGGCTATTAAAAGTAATTTATTATTAAAAGCTGTTAATGGTTTGCTCACCACCAAAGCCATTGTAGAGTTGGCGCTGCTCCTCGCCGTAAAGGTCCTCCACCTGCAACTCCTCCTCCTCCTCGCCGTCGTTGTCCAGGTGCAACTGCCTGGTCATGGTGGCCATGTAGTCCTCATAGCGACTGGGTGCCCCGTATATATCGCTCCTGGCCGTGTAGAGTGGCTCCTTGCGGGCACTTCGACTCCGGCGACGAGTCCTCTGGGGCACACAGCACTCCAGCTGGCATTGGGCACGCGACACGCGACGTGTCTGGGTGTGTGGGCGTGGCATAGTGGCGGACATGCCCGCTCCCATTCCATAGCCGTATGTGGGACTGGGGGTCAGGGAGTTGCCGCCCCCGTAGGCGGGCTCAATCGCCTCCTGACCGGTGACATCATCGATCTTCTTGCGCACATAGTCATAGTTCTCCAGATCCCAGGGATCCACGTAGCAGCGTTGCGAGGGCAGCAAGGTGGTCCCATAAATATCCTCCGTATTGTCAATGGTGTAATAGGGCGATTCCAGGGCACCCACTCCCTCGGGCAAGGCCTGTTTTGGACCAGCTCGACGCCTTCTCGGTGTCGTTTGACTGCGTTCACGCATGCTGCAAAAAGTCGACGAATAAGAGCCATTACATTACTTGGGGAAAAAAAAGCGGAGATGGTGAGAGAAAATCATGAGCAAGTGCATCAACTGGTTGGTTGGTTACGCAACACACTTTATGGCTAATACTAAAACTCTTCCGTCAACCAATCGAACCCGTTCTCCGAAGTTGGCCGCGAATTTTCCGCGGCATTTGGCCGGCTTAGCCTTGCACACCGGCACTATATATATCTTTATGCAGGTGTTACACTTCACGACTCCACAGTGTAACCATTAGCCGGTTTATGGATCTGCATAACTCAGCATGGCCAATCAATTGACATTCCAATTGCCAATAGCCCACGATATTCCATTAGCCGACCAACTGGTTTACTTACTTCAAATGCAATTCACAAAACCCTGCCACCCGTTTTGGGCATCAAAATCAAATTGCTATCAAAAATATCTATTTAATTAAAAACTGAAATGGAGCCAGTCGGCAACAGTAATATTCAATAAAATATGCAAAACAAGTCAAGTGGAACAAAGTGCACTGAAAAATATATGTTGAGAGGAGCGAGGATTTCCAATTTTCATTTTGGCCAACAAGGTTAACTAGATTTTTTGATGGGTTTGTCAGCTGCAGTTAACAATGTTACATAGAAATTGTAATAGAACAGGCAGAGTTTTTCCATTAACAGTATAAATAAATGGAATATGCCAAGTTGTGTTTATTCAACAATAAAGATAATCTCAGACTGAAACGAAAAAGCTAAAATTAAATCTCTGGCGCGCGTTGAATGAAAAGGACTATCTCTACAAACATTATTAGTTCAGCAGAAAGTAACAGAAAACCTTTATAAAAACAATCTGAAATATCTTTAAATGAAATGGTTTTTTCTCTCAACTTTTTAAAGCTCATATTTTTTATGGGCTTTGGGATTTTTTTTGGTTTTTTCCCCTAAGCTATTTCTTGCAAACGCCCATTCGAAAAAAGGTTTTGCGCAATCTTTCCGAGGCATTTGTAATTTGTGCATTTGCATAAAAATGTTGTGTTTGCTTTTGTTTTTGGCTGCTTTGTTTTAATCGCTTTGGTTATCGATTAACATTTGTATGGCTTCAGCGGGCAAAAAAGTATAAAAAGGTTTCAGATAGGAATATAATTTATAAAATACACAAACTACACAGGGAAAAAAACAACGTGACTTGGCTGGGTGGCACGCAAATGAAATCGTGTATCTGCGGGTCTTTCAGGGTGTATACACTTTTTATGGCATATATCCAAACATTAAATATACACACAAGCCCATCTGAATGCAGTTTCAGCCATTTGCACGCAAGGGAAAATAGTTTAGGGCTTGTTTTGGGCTTTAGTCATGAGCTTTTTACTATTCAAACAAAATCAAAAATGCATTGCGGTACAAAAATTACAAGTAAAATAATATTACAACATGATCAAAATGACTCGTAAAAAAGTTTTATCAATGAAAAAATGCATAACAGCTTTAGTAAATGTTTGGTTTCAGTAAGTACCCAGAATTTCAGAATTAATTACCTTATTTTGTAAAAGCTAAAATAATGCAAAATTTCTTTGCCTTAATAAATGTTCTTGGCTTGTAAGGCGGAGATTACGTATACGCCACTTGACACTTAACCATGGAAAGTTAATTGCAAGCGTAGTGTTTAACCGCAATTAGAGTCGAATATGCATACGGAACCACTTAAGGCCCAAAGGCCCTGTTAATTAATTGGCATCTTTGGCCGAGACTTCCACTGCTCCGCGGTTGACTGATTGCCCCGGTCAACCTCAGCCACAGCCTCTGGTTCATCTTAACGCAAATTGCCACTTTGACTTTGGCTTCTGGCCATTTGCATATCAAATGTGTCAAGTTCGCGTCGAATTACTTTGTGTAATCAGTTGAACTTGTTATGCCTGGATGATTGATAGTGGCTTGTCACCTGAATTAGGCTTAAAAGCTAAAGACAGCTATCAAATCTTGTTTGATTTCCGGAAATTGTGTTAATGTTTTAAAAGATCAATTTTAAGGATTAAAAGAAAAAAAAAAAATTTTAAAGAAAGGGGGGATTGTTTTTGACTAATACTCTTTGCATTGAAATAATAAATCAAGTCTTTATTTTCATATGTTTTGTATATTGTTTGTCAAACAATATTTCTGAAGAAAAATTTTTACAAAAAATTTTACTGGTTTAGTAAACATACCAAAGTAATAAATAGAAAAAGTTGTTGCTAAGTAGTTTAAAAATACCTAAGCGTTTTTCTACAAAGCGAAGGCATTTAATTTTGCATAGAAACACAAACACTTTTGGTTATATTTGGTTTGTACGAATATATCAATTAAGGTAATAATTAACAACCTGTTGAGCTCTTATTCAGCAAAAATTATGCAAAAAGGTATAAATAACATAAATATTTCGACATCGAATTATAATGAAAAATAACTGGAAACAAGTTTAACAAACGCCAAACGACCTTGTTAAGTATTCGAATATAAATATTTATTCGAGTGATATCATACCCAAAGGCGGATTTACATGAACCGAATCAAGAGCAGGGTGAAATTTATTCACAAAGCGCTTCTGCCGCACCTCCTTAAAAAAAATGCAAGATGAGCAGAAGTTTTGTGCGTGAATCACCTGAAAAGAACAGTTCTCTGGTTGCATACCTGGGCGTAAGGCCCTAAATGGTGATCACTACACTTCAATTGCATTTTGAATTCATATGGCGGAGACCCACGCAGATGATCACTCTAACTTGACAAGCCCGCAAATAATACCGCCTGAAGATACAGAGCTCATAAGATCTGGGGACCCAGCCCACATATAAACGCAACTTTCTTTGCTTTTGACACAGTTTCCTTGGTAGTTTCATTCACCTTTTTTGGTTGGGGATATAAATTTTAATATGTTTGGCTGTCGGTCACTTGTCACTTGCGGTTAGAACTCTATTTTTGGTCACCGTCGCCGTTAACGTTCTTTAGCCAATATTTGAATTTTGGGCACGTCCGATCCGTACATGATCCACGCGCATGCGCAACCGCGTTGTGTTCGCTTCTTCGACCGGCACTCAACTGTTTTGGCCAACGGTTTGGACCAACTCTCAAAGCCAGTCTTTTGCTCTTGGCTCGCAGCATGTTCGAAGTGGTTTGATCTTCGGGTTGCAAGAGGTTCGCTCGCTTGCCAATTTCCATCAAAATTAATTAGAGTTTCCCATTCAGCTTTTATGGCTTTGGCTAAGTGTAATTTCGGGCGGACTGTAAACTAATTAACAGTAAATTAAAATGACAGCAAGTGATTATGTCACAGTTGTAGAGCTCCTCAAAGTCACATTGATATGCAAATTTGTAAGTCGCTGAAATGCGTATGCGACTGCGCTAGAGAAATGCCAAAGATATATCAAGAAAACTGGGTGTATTACACAACGAATTGAAAGTGCTCTTTTATGATAAAGTATATAAATAAGAGTTATTAGTTATAATAAAATCAATAATCAACTCTTATACAAAAAAAAAATGATGACTCATATAACTTTTAAATTATTGCTCAATTAAACTTTCAACTTAATAGTAAAGTAATAACAACCTTGGTAAGAGTAAGTTGTAAAAAAAAGCAGCTGCCAAGTTCAAGTTTTTTTCGTGTGGCTAGGAAAGAAATTGAAATTGTTGCTGAGAGAAATTACATCACTTCAACTTCAACTTGAACCGACATCTTTGGGTGGGGCAATATTCGCCGCCTTTGCTTTCATGAAAAGAAAACAGGTGATGAGCATCATTTCTCATTCGAGACTTTTCCCAACGTCAGCGGCTTCTTTGCCTCAAAAATAAATCCCAAATAATTTATGCATTTTTTCTTCAGCTACCAAAAGGTATTTATAAAATAAATTGTTTGAAAAAAAAACGTAAAAAAAGCTTTCACTTTCAATGCGGTGGCGTTTTGTTTTTTTTTTTGTGGTAGCCCCAAAATCGTGCCGATATTTATGGTGTTTATTCAGTCAGGTCAGTTATTATTTCTTTTTGTGGTGAGTGTTGAGTGCAAACAATCAATTGGATGGCCTATAGGCCAGGGCAAAAACAATTTAATTAAGCCAGCTGAAGTGGCCAACAGTTTGCGGTCAGATATGTCATCAAAAAAGGGTATTAACAAATAATTGATTGGGGTATTTTTTAAGATTTATGCAATAAATATATGAACTCAGCAAATAATCTCGAGATCGTTATTAAAGTTAAACTATTTTATTTATTTATTTTTTGCTTAAAATATAGTCCAAATAATCTTGGAAATTAGCTTTTAACTAAGTAACATTGATTTAATAGTTTTTATATAACAACAGAAATAACTCTCACTCTCAAAAATTCTACTTAAAAACAGAATAAATTTTCAAAACATAAGCTTTAGAAATGCTTTAGCAGCTCATATGTTTTACAGCATTGAATATACGAGTTGCATTTGGATTTCTGGTCACGAACGTTTAGCAAGAAGTTGCATTCACTAGGCATCCTTTTGGTTCATTTAGCCACCTTCCAGTCCATCAAGCCCACATTCCTTGCCATAGAACTCATATATGTATATGCATTTGCCCCCATTCGGAGGCTCCAGAGCAATTTGCCGCTTTTAATGGCGAATGCCGTGTTGGGACTTGCAACGTGTGCTACGTTGCCAACGCACAGGAAACCGGCTGCACCTGGCCGCCCAAAGGGGGCTGACTAAGGGAGGGGGTGGAGGGTGGAGGGGCGGTGCCACAACCAGATGTTTGCCTTTGACTGGCGGCAGACTCGTTGATCTCTGCTCCAATTCCAATATGTGTGTGCTCGGCTCGGCTCTTTTCCCCCAAGTATCTTTCATGTATTCGCATCGGCGACATTGTGCAACATGCTCTTCGATATGGCAAAACAAAAAATTCATGCAGCACAGCACCGCAGCTCCCCTCGATTGCACATTGGTCCAACAATTAATTCAGCATTTAAAAATAATTGTAAAAAAAATGACAAAACGTAACAAAATTTTTTAGGTGGTTTTAGATCAAATGGTGACTGTATTTAATAGCTATTTAATTCTTAGCCCAATTATATACCTAAAAACTCATATGAGTTGAGCAATTTTATAATATCAAAAATTAGTTGTTTACTTACTCAACTATTTTATGTAAATTATTTGCATTGAGTAATAGTAAAACGGTTACGCATGTTTTAAAAGAGTTTAAATTTGTTTTATAAATAGTGATCTCAAAGGTGTATAATTGCCCATCGTTCAATAGTTTAGTTATGAAATTACTAAAACTGAACTGGTTTAAAAATTAAAAAATTTAACATTTGTGTACATTTTTACCAGTTTTCGGCAGACTTCTTCGATTTTATTAAATTGTGTTTGCTTATAGTTATATTATTTTGTTGGTTACTACAATAACTGGAACCAAAGTGAATTGGCCACAGCTGCAGCGAACATTAGAGATGCTGAGTCGCAGATTGCGCTGCACCCAAACCCAATCCTAAGCCCAGGCCATAATCCGAATCCGAATCCGAACCGAATCAAATGGCTATAGCACATGTTTCTCCTTTGCTCTCCGCTTGTCACTCGCCTTGCCACTTTCGATTTTTCATAGCTCGCAGTCTCTATTTCGCTTTTTTGCAACTCACCATCTCCCTCCACTGGGGCAATAATTGTAAGTGGACCTGGGCATTTATGGCGTTTTTACTTCTCTGGCCCCATTTGGCCAACATGTTGGACATTTTGCACGTGTTCAGCCCACAAAAGGGAAACAGGCGAATGGCAGAGAAACAGGGAAGAAATATGGCCGGTAATTGTGTGCTTCCCATTTGATGTGTCAGCAAAACGCGTTTTTTGTGCTCCTTTTTTCGATTTTCGGGACAATTGTCAGTTAGGAGAAGGCCTTTCACCAGAATGATTATCATCCTTCTTAAAGCGAATAATATAAACGTTTATTATCATTCAACCTCAATTATAAATGCCTGAATGAATTTTTGGGGTCTCGTAGCCAAGGATTTCATCCCTTTTTAGTTTAGGTCATATCGCATACTCATCAAAAAGTCTAGTTAGGCAATTTAATTTAATTTTCTTTAACGAGATTTAACAGAGAATTAAGTTTTATTTTGACCTAGATTTGCATGCCTTAAAAATAAACAAATTTGTACATGCAATGCTCAATAAAAAAAACAAGATTATGGTTCAATAACATAAATTAAGACGCATTTAAACTGTACACGGTTCATTTGTTGAAATATCAATTTTATTTTGATTTATTGTCAGTACAAACCATTTATTCTCAACCATAAATCGTATCGATAATCCCTTTTTTGGGCTCAGTTGAGCGACCCAACACAATGGGCCATAACTGAAACCATTAAATTTGTATTTAAATCCACTCATTGCTCAATCTGCTTGATGATGCAATAATACCTAGCACTGCAGACAGACATCGGGGCAAAAAAAAATAACAAACGAACAACATGAACATCAGCCGCAGCATCATCACCATCGACATCTGACATGCCGAGGGCCAAGCATCGCCTCCATCGCCTCCATCTTCGACATCGTCTTCATTTTGGGCTCTATCTCCCTCAATCACTGCTGACGCACAGTTCAAGTGGCACTGGCACAAATCATCTTAACAAAAATCCACATATATAGAAAATAGCTGCAAAAAGTCTAACACAACATGAGCAAGACATATTTCGAGGCAACTCTGACATAATTTGGTCAAAATAGTTGCTGCCTCTTGATTTTTTTTTTTTTTGTGGATTTTCTTTATGTGGTTTTGATGCTCTTCTTTTGGAGTCAATTCTGAGCTATAATGTGGATTTTTGTCTTCACCGAAAGTGAAATATTGTAAGGCAGTTGCTTATGGAATATATTTCTTCAATTTAAACACCATGTATATTTTTGAAGTTTATACAAAACTACCAATAAAGTGCAATGATTTATTAATTTGGCGTGCATTTAATTATAGGAAATTAAAATTAATTATAATTATTTTAAGGTTTTTGTTATTTTCTCAAATTACCATTAGTGCATATTCAAAAATATACTACAGTATTTTTGGTATATATTTTGCAAATGACTGTAGTAAATATATTTTCGACTCATTTGTTATATTTATACTTATTTTTGATTCGCAGAATTGTTCTTCAAGTCAGTACATGTAGAGACAATTTTTCATTACGAGCTCACACACCCAAATCAACACCCCTGCAAAAAAACCCACATACATGCAGTGCGGATACGCCCATAGACACATCTTGCCCGATGATGCCTCAAGTTCAAGATACAAAAACATATTGCGGGCAAAAAAAAACAATTGCCGCGTGAGTGTGCGGCTGGTACTCGTACATTGTGCATTGTTTTGGCCAAGTAACGAAACATTTTTTCCCGCACTTCCGCATCGGGCCAAGATACATGGCACTGGATATACATACACCGAGATACATCGCCGAGGTCCAAGTATAAGGCATTGTCTTGGCCGGAATGGCGGGGTTCTCCTTTTCTTTGAGTTTTTCCCTTAACGCTTATCACACACTTCATTAATTTTGTTTCGCTTTTCATTGCTGTCGGTAATTATGGTTACAGTTATGCTTGGGTATCTGCCCGAGCCTCCGAGTTTCACTTTTTTCTCAGGTCTGCTTTTCGATATTGCAAAATTGCATGCTGCACTTGAAAAAAGTTTGCCACGCGTGAAGCTCTATCTGCCTTTCTGCCTAACTGCCAGATACTCCAATACCAAACAGCAATATTTGTTCAAAAGCCGCCAACAGTTTGTTGCCACTTATGCTGCCGGCTGCTTGGTGATTTTTAACGCTTCGTTAACAAAACTAAAATTATTATCTCTCCATAACTCCAGGCCAGCCATGGGATTTGTTTTTGGCTCGCGAAATCATTAAATCAATTAATGTTCCACGAAACGCAAAAACAAAAGTCGAAAATTAGAAACCAAATACTGAAAATGAAACCATAAGCTGAAACTAGATTAAGCGGATGCCTTTAAGTTGATTATGATTTAAAATTGTTCGAGTGCAAAGAGGTTGTATATTTTGGACATCAAAATGACCTCGAAA